GAGGTGAATTCTCACAGTAGATAGTAGGAGCGGCATTTTACAGTAAGGTATTCTAGGTCCAGGCAGGAATAGCTTGTCAGGGTTGCTATATCCGAGCACCGGGAACCGTTGACCAGGAAGGATACCCCACCGCCCTTCGCCTTACCCGAGGACACAGTGCGGTTCATGCAATGTATGGAGAACCTGTCAGCTTGTAGGGCACAGTCGGGAATCACAGAAGATAGGTCTGCAGGTACAACAAGTAATTAGGAAGGCAAATGGAATTTTGTCCTTCATTGCTAAAGGGCTTGAAATAAAAAGCAGAGAGGTTATGTTGCAACTGTACAAGGTGCTGGTGAGGCCACACCTGGAGTACTGTGTGCAGTTTTGGTCTCCTTACTTGAGAAAGGATGTATTGGCACTGGAGGGGGTGCAAAGGAGGTTCACTAGGTTGATTCCGGAGTTGAGGGGGTTGGCTTATGAGGAGAGACTGAGTAGATTGGGATTATATTCATTGGAATTCAGAAGATTGAGGGGGGATCTTATAGAAACATATAAGATTATGAAGGGAATAGATAAGATAGATGTAGAGAGGATGTTTCCACTGGCAGGTGAAGCTAGGACAAGAGGGCATAGCGTCAAGATTAGAGGGAGCAGATTTAGGACTGAACTGAGAAGGAATTTCTTCACCCAGAGGGTTGTTAATCTATGGAATTCCTTGCCCAGTGAAGTAGTTGATGCTACTTCAGTAAATGTTTTTTAAAAAAAGTAGATTTTTTTTGAACAATAAAGGAATTAAGGGATACGGTGAGAATGCAGGTAAGTGGATCTGAGTCCATGAAAGGATCAGCCATGATCTTATTGAATGGCGGAGCAGGCTCAAAGGGCCAGACGACCTACTCCTGCTCCTAGTTCTTATGTTCTTATGAATGGCAGGGATGGGCCAAGTCTCTGTGAAGCAGAGCACACAACAGTCTCACAGCTCCCTCTTTAGTCCTGTTCCTTAGCATTTCTGCTCTTACTAATCTGTAATGTTGAACTGTCATCAAAGAATCAAAAAGTTTGTCCAGGTGTATAAAATACTGTAAACTCTCACATTCATTCCATCCCAGAACAGTACAGCACAGAGGAGGGCACTGGACCCATTTAGGCGGCATTAGCTCTTCCAAAGTGTCAAGAATGCTGAGTTTTAAAGGACACTTTTGTTTTAAAATGTAACCCTTAATCTAAGCCAAAAAGAATATTATGATAAAAGAACACCTCAGTTTGGAGAAATGCCATGTTGATCTGACTGCTATGGGGTGAGAAACTCAAACAGAGATCCATTGAAATATCAGGTCTCAGTATTAACATTAATTCACTCTAACTCATTGAAAAAAAGGACAGTTGTTTAAGATGCAGGGAGACAAAGGAACTACTGTTGTAGGGAATGTGTACTGTCCTGTACTTCTGACCAAGCAGTGCCAGTGAGAATTCAGTTTCTATTCAAAGGAGAGGGAACAGAACAGAAGATTTCTTGAAGAGTTAAGGGACAAATTTGCTAACGTGTGGCTTGCTACTGGTAATTGATCTATGAAAAGTCAGACTCAGTGGAAGGTTGTTTAGGGACAGGAAAGGAAGTTGCATCCTGACATAGTGGGGAGAAGAGATGTTGCTGAAAAATTGGGAGTGACTGTAGAACTTTCCTACATAATGCTATATATCTGTCAAAAACACACTGCACAGTTAAAAGGAACAAAAACAGAAGTTGCTGGAAAAGCTCAGCAGGTCTGGCAGCATCTGTGAGGAAAAAATCAGAGTTAACGTTTCGGGTCTGGTGAACCTTCCTCAGAA